TTGCCGACATTCTTTAACATCACAAGCTTCTTTGCATGGACTTTTTCAGAGGGACTTTTATTTGGCAGGTAGAGATTGCCGACATTCATACTACACATTGTCAGCACAAATCTATCTGCTCATTTGAAAATGTAAATAAAAGAAAATGCAAAACACATTCATCATAATTCACAAAATAAAGTATTAAAAATTCACATAGGATGTTTAAAGTCTTGGCAATTGGAAAATTAAATAATACAGATAGAAATTTTTGATGCTCAATACCCTCAAAATATTCTAGCCATCTCATATTCAGTTAATATAGCACCTACAGTACTCAGGACTGAGGAGGAAGAGGATATAGATCCTGTATCCAGCTCTGCCTAAGCATGACCAAATCCCTCCTAGGCTGAAAATGCCTTTCAAGGATTACATTTTTCAGGATTTTCACATCACGGATGATGGAACACATCACCTCACGAACAAACCTCTATGCAAAACAGAAAGATCTGAAGACAAACTTCAAGACCATGAAAAAGAAGTTCTGAATCTCCTTGATATCCTTTTCTAAGGAAGCACCACCTTAGAGTGCCACAACTTCAAGCTTAGCAAGGAGGGAGAGGGCATAGATACGAGCTGTAAAATCTTGTTAGGTCTGATGAGCACCATCCCCATGGCCTCAACCAATATGATCTTTGAAAATAACTACTTCAGCTTCCTGAAAATTGTAGGCTACTGGAAAAGCTCAGCACTGTCCTGTTGAACATCTCCAATGGGGTCTGCATTATGCCTTTGTGACTAAACACCAAATGAAGGAGGAAACATAGCCTTATATTGCAACCTAGTCATTTGTGATCCCCCAAACGTCTTGAAGGACTAAACATCTTTTTCAGTTTATTGTGCTCTAATATGCATAATTTTCATTTCTGTATAAACCTGTGACTAAAGGAAGCATGTATTTTAACTTCTAGGTCCTTGCTCATCCTTAACCTGTTGCCGCCAGGTGGCACGTACGTACATGCCATGGCTGGTGTGGACCGAACGCTGGGGGGCATCATGTCATGCCCATTCCCACGCCACTGGCTCGTCGGACGGAGGTTATTTTTCTCCGATAGTAGCAGCTTCATTTATATGGTAAAGATTTTAGGCAATGGCACCTATAATAAAGGCAAACCTTCAAAATTTTAATATTCTTATAAATTTTAGCAAAATAAAAGCTTGTAGGTGCTAAATGTCGCTCGCAAACAATTGATCAAGCTGGGCGCAAATAGGGGAAACTGCCGATGCGCGCCAACAAGCCTGTGCATACATCCGCTTGCCAAAATTTTTAACCGTCGGCGATGGGTTAAAATCATATAATGATTTTGATATCTATAATTTTGCTATGCTTTCTAACAAGTCACTGTTTTTGGTCACTTTGTCTATCATAATTTGCTATCATGGAAAAGTGATAATCAAAAATATTAACACAAATAAAATTGTCTTAGAATATATTGGTTTCATTTTCTATATATGAATTTTCTAATTCTGTTTATTTCTATTTGTGCATAGTAAAGGATTAACAATCTAAGTTGCTGTGACTTGGCATGCCTTTCTGCACTGCCCGAAGGGAGAGTTGATGGGGGGAGGTCTGTCCTAGAGTGCATAACCAAGTGGACTTATGATGTGAGCAGTGTTATCAGCGATCTTTTTCCTTTCTGTGTGGCATTACTATTCTGGTCTGCAGATCATTTCTTATATTTCTTGATAGGGAAATACAGCAGTATAAGTTACTGACAGTGACGCACAGAGATTGAGGGAAATGGACACTGCCATCTTATGAAATGCATGAAACAGAGTCAACTGTATAACTGCAACAACCTCATATTTACCACCAAATGACAAAAATAGCCACTGCATATCACCACAAAGGGCCATACTTTAAAAACATTTAAAAAGTGGCAGTTGAATGGAGGCGCTAGCAGTCTGGCACTCACAAGCAACTCGAATCCTCACTCTAAAAACAAGGCAATGCCAGAGACCACCAGTGCCACTGCTGGCGTTCAGCCACCCCGAAAAGTGGTAACTCCAACAACACAGACAACAAGCAAATCAAGACATGAAATTGGCATGAAATTTGATGCTTGACTTTTTCATCTAGGCTATCACTTCAAATACCAATAAAAAAAATTCTTAAGGTACAGCTAATCTTATATAAAAAAAGGTGCATTCACAAGCACTTACACCTTAATACTGTCACACATATTCATAATCTTTCTAAATTATACAAGCAGGCATATACACATACACAGTATTTATAATCCTTCTCAGATGCCTATCTTACCCTTTATTTCCCTCTCACTTTCATATTGATTGTTAATAGTATTATAATTACGTTCATTTGTAGGAATAATAACCTATTGTTAAATGACCATATATATGTGAAAATTGTCAAAAATTAATCTTCTCTAACACATATCAAATGCCCTATCCAATTCATGATTTTTGAATGAATTGCATCATATCTTAGTTCAGAGTCTCTAGTAGGGTTGCTTATATTAGAAATAAGATATGAGGGCATACATAGAAGTTTTTCAAGCAAATATTCTATGCACTGAGTTTGCTCTAATTCTGTGCTGCAGTCAATGTCTGCTAAAAATCTTCTGTTTTACAGAGGACCACATATAATTCTAGCATAGGACCACATGTACACTGTCTTTATAATGCCAATTTCATCTGTTACACCAGGAAAATTAGTAATACTCTGAAATTTTTGACTGACTGTTTTCAGGGCTCTGTTGTCAGGTAGCAGACCTATCATTGGAAAGTGCTTGCATCGTACAGAAATATTTCCTTGATACATATATTGACAAACTCTGAGATCATTCAAGATTATCAGCTAATTTCAACTGCAGTCCACCTGTAGCTATTCACCTCAAAGTAATAGGAATGGAACACCTATAAGTATTGAAAGTAATACCAACCCAATGTGTATGACCATACATAAATATATACAATTATATAAACAAACAAACACACACATACACACGCACACGCACACGCACGCACACATGCACACGCACACAGATGTGTGTGTGTGTATGTGTGTGTGTGTGTGTGTGTGTGTGTGTGTGTGTGTGTGTGTGTGTGTGTGTGTGGTGTGTGAGTGTGTATACACACAAATGCATACAATACAATTCTTAAGATGCGTAATATTTCGGCTATGCCCAGACTAACAAAATGGTAAATATTTGTTATTTGTACATGTTATCATTATGTTTTTCATACCATATAATGCGTATTAAAGATTGTGTAAAATGCATTTGCTTCAAGTTCAACAAATTATGAAGAAATAACATTGAAATAGGCGAGGTGAGAAGTGTTGGGATAGATTCCAATATACGCAGTTAAGTCTTCTCAAAATATTTTGATTTTAAAAGAATTGTTCAATAATCATACAAACATAATCCAAATTTTCTGTTGTTTTCTGTTAGATATTCATTGTGTAGGCTTAACAGTAAAGAAGAAAACTGTTACACAGCACCATGAAAGACACATTCATGCTGGCACTCCACCACCACTCAGGTTCCAATAATATAACGCCAGTTCAGGGCGTCATAGCTAGGACGTTTAAAATACGAAACTGGTCCACCGCCACTTGAACAACAGCACCAGTGGTGGCAGCATAGTTTTAAACCCCTTAGAGACTAAATAGCTCATCTTGTTTACATAACAAGGAAAAGTACTACACTGACTGCTTAACTTATTACTGCAACATGCCAAGTAGTTCATGAGCTGGTATGTGCATGTCAAAATGATATTTGGCTAATCGTCAGTGTTTGAAAGGTTTTTGGTTTTTATGACAATATTTGTGGATTTCCTAATCTAACAATTTAAGTTTCTGTGACTAAGCATGACCTACAGGCACCGCCCCCTACCATCGCGTGGTAAACATTCCCTTCGCTTCTTCACTTCTTTATATCTGGAAACGTCAAACTTTCATTTGATTCTTTCTAATGTTCTGGATTGCTTTGTTTCTTGTCATTTTTTTTCGACATTTGGGGCTCTTGATGGGCTCAGATATCAAATTGGAATGATTACTGGTCTATTTCTTCTTTGAAGCTTGTATAGTCTCAATAACACAGAATCAACGCAACACTGGAAACGCAACATTTCTCACCAGCCTTCTGTCACGGAATGGTTGGTTAGCTTTGAAACCTTGCGGGAGGGGCCAAAGTCTGAAACGCACAATGCACAATCATTCTAAAAAACTGTATACATAAATCTTAACCCATTTATGACAGGTGTCCCATATATGAGACATCAGGAAAAATAAACATTACCGGGCATTTCGCCAGTGTGACACTGGATCTGAGCTTACGCTCCAAATACGTTGTAGGCAGCAGCCGGCGTGCAGGCAGATTCCAGGCCGGCCCCGTGCGCCAAATTTGTAGCCGCCCAGAAATATTATTTTCGTCTTCATAATATACCGCCGTTAGTGGGTTAAAATACATTAAAAGATTTTAAAAGCATAAATGTATAACAGCAGACACTGATACCTAGCAAAATGTAATTTTAAAACGTACAAAGTAACACATGAACTACTTGAGATATCGCAGTAATAAGTTATATAGTCAAGTGTTTTGTTTTCCCTGGCAA